TTGAGCACTTGTCCGACTTAAGTATCGAAGGGGAGACGAGGACACACCTCTACGCGTTAGTTTCAGGTATTGAAGATCGGATCCACGGAGTTCTCCCATTCGGTTCGGGTTTGCCCATGTAGGAATTTTGCAACATTCCATATCTTTTGTATAATTTGAACTTCATACATCTTTCACATAACCAAAAAACTAAAATATTCACGACTACAGCATTTAATCTTGGAAAGGAAACTTTAGAAGCAAGTTTACATATTTCGAATAATTTTCGTCTCTGGACAAAATATCTATAACTAATGACATCGTGTGGTAATTTGGGAAGATATTTCTCTCTCTCATTTTCACAAAAAGTTCAATCACTTTTGATGTCTCGTTAAGATTGCAAAATCATTTCATGAGCTTGTTAAAAGAAATCACATCAGGTGCACAACCTTCATTTTCCATCTTGAAAAACAAATTATTTGTCTTTTCCATATTTCCATGTTTTGAAAAGTCGTGAATCATGATGATATATGTAACGACGTTTGATATCAAGCCCTTATGAGACAACTTCCCAAATAGCTCATTAACTAAATCGAGTTCTCCTTCTTTACATAATCCATCAAGAACACAATTATATGTGTCAATCCCAAAATTAAGACTAGATATATCTAGAGTGCGAATAAACTTCATTGTATCCATGAGACAATTGTTTTTGATAAATCCATTCAATAATATATTATAAGTAGTAGAATTCAGAATGACTTCATAAAATTTCATCATCCCAAAAAGCTCCTGTGTATGCTTAACCCTATCTACTTTTAAATAGACCAAGCAACAAAGTGTTAAATGTAATGACATTTGGTTTGTATTTTTGGCGTACCATTTCTTTGAAAAACCTCTTCCAATTTCTGAGACTTGCAATACCAGCCAATTAACACGTTTTAACTTACAACATCTCGCTTACGTCCTTTAGCCTCCATCAAAATAACTCTCTTGAATCATCAATCCTATATCTAAATAATGACAATTCATCAATGTATCATATGTAGCACAACTTGGCTATTCACCCCTCTGAATCATCAAGTCGAATAGGCCAACAACTTCGTTAGTCTGCCCCTGCTTACAAAGTGCATTGATTAAAATATTAAATAATATTACATTAGGGCCAATACCCTGATCCATCATTTCAATGAAGAACTGCTTGGATGTCGTTGAAGGTTACCATTCATGGTGTGATAACTAAATCAAAGAAATAGAAACTGTCAAATCTTCAAATCCATGTTCTGTGCTTCATAATACAATAAGTTTTTGCAGCATTTCATATCTTTTGTGTAACTTGAACTTCATACATCTTTCACATAGCCAAAAGCTAAAAAGTTCACGACTACAGCATCTCATCTATGATTCAACGTTAGTAAGAAAATTTTGGAAGTAAGCTTACATATTTCGAATAATTTTCATCTCTAGACAAAATATATATAACTAATGACATCGTATGGTAATTTGAGAAGATATTTCTCTCTCTCATTTTCACAAGAAGTTCAATTACTTTTGATATCTCATTAAGATCGCAAAATCCTTGCATGAGTGTGTTAAAAGAGATCACATCAGGCGCACAGCCTTCCTAAACCCTAAATCGAGTTCTCCTACTTTGCGTAATCGATCAAGAACACAATTATATGTGTTAATCCCAAGATTAAGAGTAGATATATCTAGAGTGCGAATAAATTTCATCGCATCCACGAGGCAATTATTTTCGATAAATCCATTCGATAATTTATCATAAGTAGCAGAATTCGAAATGACTTCATAAAATTTCATCTTCTCAATAAACTTATGTGCATGCTTAACTCTATCTACTTTAAATAGACCAAGCACCATATCTACTTTAAATAGACCAAGCAAGAAGTGTTAAATGTAATGACATTTGGTTTGTATTTTTTGGCGTATCATTTCTTTGAAAAGGCTCATAGCCTCTTTCAATTTCTGAGACTTGCAATACCAATCAATGATAGATCAGAGCATTTGCCCTAATGTAATATTATTTAATATATTAATCAATGCACTTGGTAACAAGGGACAAACTAAGGAAGCTGTTGGCCAATTCGACTTGATGATTTAAAGGGGTGAGGAGCCAAGTTGTGCTACATATAATATATTGATGAATGGGTATTTCTTAGATAATATGATTGATAATGCAAAGGAGTTATTTGTTTTGATGGATGCCAAAAGACGTAAGCGAGATGTTGTAAGCTACAACGTGTTAATTAGCTGGTATTGCAAGTTTCAAAAATTGGAAAAGGTCATGAGGCTTTTAAAAGAAATGATACGCCAAAAATACAAACCAAATGTTATTACATTTAACACTTTGTTGCTTGGTCTAAAATAGATAGGGTTAAGCATGCACATGAGCTTATTGGGAAGATGAAATTTCATGAAGTCATTCTGAATTCTGCTACTTATGATATATTATTGAATCGATTTATCGAAAACAATGGCCTCGTGGATGCGATAAAGCTTATTCGCACTTTAGATATATCTACTCTTAATCTTGGGATTGACACATATAATTGTGTTCTTGATCGATTATTTAAAGCAGGAGAACTCGATTTAGCTAGTGAGCTATTTGGGAAGTTGTCTCATAAGGGTTTCGTATCAAACATTTTTACCTATACCATCATGATTCATGACTTTTCAAAACATGGAAATATGGAAAATGCAAATAATTTGTTTTTGAAGATGGAAAAGGAAAGCTGTGCACCTAATGTGATTTCTTTTAACACGCTCATGCAAGGATTTTGCAATCTTAACAAGACATCAAAAGTGATTGAACTTCTTGTGAAACTGAGAGAGAAATATCTTCCCAGTCATTAGCTATAGATATTTTGTCCAGAGATGAACATTATTCGAAATATGTAAGCTTACTTCCAAAGTTTCCTTCCCAAGATTGATCATAGATGAAATACTGTAGTCGTGAACTTTTTAACTTTTGGTTATGTAAAAGATGTATGAAGTTCAAGTTATACAAAAAGATATGGAATGTTGCAAAAGTTTATTGTAAGATTGTATTATGAAGCACAGAATATGGGTTTGAGGATTTGACAGCTTCTATTTCTTTGGTTTAGTTATCAGAATGGTAACCTTCAACGACATCAATATGGCAACCTTCAACGACATCAAAGCAGTTCTTCATTGAAATTATAGATCTGGGCATTTGCCCTCAAGCTATAATATTGTTTAATATATTAGTTAATGCACTTTGTAAGTAGGGGCAGACTAAGGAAGCTGTTGGCCAATTCGACTTTGATGATTCAGAGGGGTGAAGAGCCAAGTTGTGTTACATATAATATATTGATGAATGGGCATTGCTTAGATAATAGGATTGATGATGCAATGGAGTTATTTGTTTTGATGGAGGCTAAAGGACGTAAACGAGATGTTGTAATCTTTAACGTGTTAATTAGCTGGTACTGCAAGTCTCAAAAATTGAAAGAGGCTATGAGGCTTTTCGAAGAAATGATACGCCAAAAATACAAACGAAATGTCATTACATTTAACACTTTGTTACTTAGTCTATTTAAAGTAGATAGGGTTAAGCATGCACACGAGCTTTTTGGGAAGATGAAATTTCCTGAAGTCATTCCGAATTCTGCTACTTATGATATATTATCGAATGGATATATCGAAAACAATTGCCTCGTGGATGCAATGAAGCTTATTTGCACTCTAGATATATCTACTCTTAATTTTGGGATTGACACATATAATTGTGTTCTTGATCGATTATGTAAAGCAGGAGAACTCGATTTAGCTAGTGAGCTATTTGGGACGTTGTTTCATAAGGGCTTGGTATCAAACGTTGTTACATATACCATTATGATTCATGGCTTTTCAAAACATAGAAATATGGAAAAGACAAATAATTTATCTTTGAAGATGGAAAAGGAAGGCTGTGTGTACATGATTGGTCTCTTTTAACACGCTCATGCAAAAATTTTGCAATCTTAACGAGATATCGAAAGTGATTGAACTTCTTGTGAAAACGAGAGAGAGAAATATCTTCTTAAGTTACCACACGATGTCATTAGTTATAGATATTTTGTCCAGAGATGAAAATTATTCGAAATATGTAAGCTTACTTCTAAAGTTTCCTTCTCAAGGTTGAATCATAGATGAAATGCCGTAGTCGTGAGCTTTTTAGCTTTTTGGTTATGTAAAAAATGTATGAAGCTCAAGTTATACAAAAGATATGGAATGTTGCAAAAGCTTATTGTAATATTGTATTATGAAGCACAGAATATGGATTTGAGGATTTGACAGCTTCTATTTCTTTGGTTTAGTTATCACACCCTGAATGGTAACCTTCAACGACATCAATATGATTCACGTCTGGATTTCATCTACTCGATGTTACTGTCTTAGTTGTTGAAGACACATTAGTTTCGATTATATTCACAAATACTATTCAGTTATTAACGAGAAATGCTATTCATCCTCAGTGTGGATGCATCCTCAGTTTATGTGGCGTTAATGTGGCATTAAATGATAGGTGAAATTAAATAAGTTATTTAATTTCACCTATTATTTAACCAATCATTTACATCCACATTAGGGATGGTAACAGTTCGGTTCGGGGTCGGTTCGGCCAAAACCATAACCGCACCACCAAATTTTTTGTCATACCATAACCGCACTATAACCACGTAAATCGGTTCGGTTCGGTTAATAATCACGAAAATATATTATTTTTTATAAGTCCAAACTCCAAACGTCAAATTGAAAAAAAAAATTATGAACTAAAAACAAAAAAAAAAACAATACTAGGGGTGAGCGTTGGTTGGGTTGGTTTTTGCCCAAACCCAAACCCAACACAACCCAACATGGTCAGTTTGATCTAAAACCAAACCAACCCAACCCGTGTAAATGTTGAAACTCAACCCAACAAAATCAAGTGTCGGTTGGATTGGGTTGGATTGGACGGTTTGCCAAAGACTATGTTATGCATTCAAATATTTATGCATACAAAAATATTCCTACTAGATTCTCCACCATAAATTATCAAAACACAGTTATATTATTCAACCTATCTTTAAATATTTGTAGCCAAAAGTAGAACCATTGTATGCTGCCCAGATTAAATTGCTAATTCTTATCCCATTCTTCCAAGTTTTGAATATGTGGGGTCACATTTTTTGCACAAAATCAGATACATTGCATTACCACGTGTGTATGATACCGAAACATAGTTGTGAAAGAAATGATGTGAATGTGTAGCGTCACATTTTAAAGAGCAGAACATGCTTATGTAAAGCTTAGATTTCAAACTGTGGCCAAGCTTTTGCATACTCCAAATACTGAACAATTAATAAATGAAGGTCTGCCCGGCTATTCATATCATCGTGCTAGATCAATTGAAAATAAAAGACTAACAAGACTAAATCTGACCTTTCAATATGGAAACCCGAGTCTTCGCATTCGAAATTGGAAATCTATGACCAAGCCAATAGAATTCTGTCATAGATGCAGCTTGCTGAGATCTAGCCTCAGCCATGGCAGCCTACA